ACTATTTATATAAGTGACGGTCATCAAATGAGATTGATCAATCTTATAAGGTACAGTGCTTTATAAAATATTCGAAAATCCAAAGACTATGTTATAAGCTAAATGTTCTTTGCAATTTTTTTTACGAAACAATTAAGGGGAAAATATTAAATAAAATTTAATCTACCTTTTATTTTCAGTAAAAAATTTGGGTTGCATGGATAATTTTTTAACTTCTTAATATCAAGCAATTTGCCAAAAGATATTCGGTTTATGTGTGTAAAATGAGAAACGTAACTTTTTTTTCCCCCCCATTATCTGCTTTAATAGCACACGCATTCTGGTCATCTAAATGATCTCTTCCATTTTAGATAAAAATAGTAATAACAACATGTTTCGTACTTAAATAGTCATATGCGTGTTTTTTCTTTTTCTTAATTATGGACTTGAAACCTATAAAAAGTTATTAATTAGAGTGGTTTTTATTATAAGTCATTTCACTCGCTTGTAACTCATTCTCGCATATTAATAAATGTGTTAAATTGATAAATAAAAAAATTTAAATTTATTTTTAGCAAAGTTTTTTCTCTTGTTGCATTTACAAGTGATCCTCACATTTTTCTTCTCTCTCTTTTTCTTTCCAAAGAGAATGAAACAAAAGTAAAATTGAAGAATAATTATTAAATTGCCTACAAGTTAGCCATGTATTTAGGACCAAAAATCTCTCGCACAAGTAACTTATATTCTTATAATAAAGATCAGAGTGGTGCACTTTAATTTCATGTTGTATATATAATCTGAGTCTACTAATAATTTAATGGTAATACACATTTCTGATTGCAAAATGAAATTTTATTTTCAAGGAAAAAATTGCAATACATGATGACAATATGTTTAATATCTTGCCGGAACAAAAAAAAAAAGTTTAATTAACATGAGCTTAATGTCACGCATGAGTGATCATAAAAGGATGTGCGAATTGTGTTTGGTTCTAATTTTGGAAATTGGGTATCTGTTACTATTGTTTTGCCCTATTTAGTAAGGTATCGAAAGTCAAAACATGATAATTAAACTTATCACGACAATAGTTGGGGCATCACTAGTGTAACCGTGATTAGATCCAAATTAACCCAATCATAATTAAAATAATAAAATTTAATTAAAATATGTAAAAGTATATTTATGTAATCCTAAAAATGACAATATTCACATACAACCTCCGATCCTAAACATAATAGTTAGTTGGCATTTCTAAATATAAGACCCAAATTTACTTTGTTTTTCAAATTTGTACTGTATTCTAAAAAAATATCCCTATTGATTGTAAAGTATTTTCAACCAAGTGCAATCCTGGTAAATCAACACACATTTGTTATAAATAACTAATTTAACTAATTTTTTTAATCTCTTCAAATCAATTATTGAACTCTCATATTAAGAATCGAAGGTAGTATAAATCATACAGTACACATAATCTTATGAGCTATGGACTAACTCTTTATTTTACTAATTGAATTAACTTTTATTGGTTTTTGCAGATCCCAAATAAAGCACACATGGGGCTGCCGGCCGCCGAATATGTGACAGAGACGCTGACGATTAGAGTTGAAGGTGAAGGAGCATGATGATTATGTGAAAACTGAGAACAGTGGGCGGACGCCGTCGTTTTCCTACAACGTTGTTTTGTTTCGTGTGGACCATCCTTCTTTAATCTTAATTAACTGGCTCTTGATTTTGTTCTTTTCACCTCCCCTCAATCCCGCATAACCCCATCCATTTCTGCTCGTGGGCTTTTGGGCTTGTGCTCCATTCTCTTCCTTTAATTAAATAAATCAAGTTTTTTTTTTCTTGGATAAAACAAGTAAAACAATAGACACATTTTTTATTTTTTATTAAAATGTGTATGGCCAAGTGAAACGAATCTCATGTCTATTCGTTATCGCATTTCATGTCCTGCCTTACAAAAGTCTGACCCTATTAATATTGTTATTAGTCAACATTTTCTGGACACACATATACCGTAATAATAATAACAATAATAATAATAATAATAATAATAATAATAAGTTTCTATCCCCAAAATTATTGTTAACCCTCTCTCTCTCCCTCTCCACACACAATCATTTTCTTGAATGTATTTCTTCTTCCTATTAGGCATTTAGGCCGGCTTTGTAGTTTGTATTTATCTTTTACCATGAATTGAATTTAGTTTTAAATATAATATTTCAATTTAACTTATTTTTATAACATATATCAATAGTATAGTAGTAAAACTAAAACTTGAAACCTAGAAAAAATTTATCCCACCAAGTAAAACTAAGACACAAATAAATAAAGACTAATTAATCTATGTCTGTTCATATCATGTTACTTGTCTCCAATTGACAACCTTTCACGCCGCTTAATAAATTTCACTCATATTGATGCCTCCCGATCCTTAATGTGGGCCTCGAAAGACTCACATGGGCTACCCAAAACACTAACTCAGGTTACTCACCCACTTCATCGAGTTTTCTTGGGTTGGGATCATGGCTCAGTTTAAATAGTACTACCTCCGGTTCTTAATATAATATTTCATTTGATTTTTATTTTGATCCTAATTATAAGACTTTAATCCAATTTGTCTCTTATATTTGTGTTTTTTTTTTTTCAAGGTAATCCCTCTAATAATGATAGTTCTAGCTAATAAACTTGATTAGCAAGGATATTTTAAGAAAGACAATACATGTTTATTACAAATAACTAACTTAATTTATTTCTTTAATCTCTTCAAATTAGTCAACTAGCTCTTATAATTAGGACCAAAAGTAATATTTATGATGTTGGGTTTTTAATGCAGTGAATTTAATTGGATTCTAAATACACATTGTAGCCTTTTGAACTTGAATGCTTTTTAATGCTTGAATGGCTAAGGACGCCACTCTGTTTTTTTTTTTTTTTAAGGAAAAGGCAAAATGACATTGAAAAATAAGTCAGAGTCACAATAGTAGAAGGACAGAAATAATAGTTAAGTGCAGCGGAGAATAAAGAAGAACTAATAGAAGTAAGGAAAAATCCTATAAAAAAAATTGAAATTACTAAATTTTAAATAAAAAATTTATTAAAAATGTGTTATTATTTGCGAGTTAAAACCTATTAAAGCGTTGTTCTAGGGGTTGTGATGGCGAACACCCCTTCGAGGATGTTATTGATAATGCCAGATTAATTTTCAATAGGAAGTCAACGTTTATCATGTGTATATGGATGAAAACCACTTTGCTAACTATCTTGCAAAAATGCCACATAGTCTTGATAGCTCTTTTTGGATCTTTGATCAACCTCCTGCTCTTGTCCAAGAGGCAGAAAGTGATGAAGGAGATTAGAGACTCTTTCTTTGTCTCTTTGGAAAGTGATGGATGAAGGCGATTAGAGACTCTCTCTGTCTCTTTTGTGTTGTTAGTCTAGTTTTGTATCCAGTTTCACATTAAAAATATATATATATATATATATATATATTGTTCTCAAATCTGATTTGAGATTTAATAATTTTAAACTTTTTTTTTTTTAATTCTTCCTGAAAGTAAAGTGAACACTTGAAAAAAGAGATAACAAAAAATGAATATCACACAGTAAAGTACTGGACCGAACACCATAGTATTAATTAGTTTAGGAAATCAGGTCACATATATTATAATGAATTAATTCATTTAACTCTGTTAACCTACTTAAATTGGTTAAATAACTTTGTATTAAGGACGGACGGAAGAGTACAATTACACAAACACATATTTTCATGAAAGAAAAAATTAATCTATTAGTCATTATATAGTTTTACCTCTTGTCCTTAATATAAGACATAGTTAACTAATTTGAAGAAATTAAAAAAATTAGTTAAGTTAGTTATTTGTAACAAATAAGTGTTGTCTTTCTCATAATACCCTTACTAATCATGTATATTAGCTAGAACTACCATTTGATGGAACTTTTAACATATGCAACTATAAGAGTATTTGGATATCTCTAGAAGTGATTTTTAAAAGCATTTTTTTATAAATTGAAACAAACTCCTTCACATATTTATTTTGCATACCGTAAAATCACTTTTAAAATCATGGTTTAGTTTCCATTGAAACACTCACTGCAAGAACTACTTTGAAAAAATTAGATAAATATGAAAAAGAAAATAAGTTAAAATCTTATATTTAGAACCAAATTAAAATTCAAACAAGCTCTTATATTAAGAATAGAAGGTAATAGGTTTTTATCATTTTTTCCTCTTTCTATTTAATCCTTAAATTTTATTCTATTACAAGAGTGACACCTTTTACATATGAACCGTTGATTCAAGAGTCAAACACTGTTTATAATTACTAGAATGACTGATAAAAAATGACGTGGCACTGATTCAAGCATGAAAATATGGGAGAGTTACAATGAGGTCCTAAAAAAAACTATAAAAAAGTTCTAATAATTTTTTTTTGTTCAATTGAAACCTCGTTGTATGCTAATCTTGTCGTGGAAACTATGATTGGACTTTAGTGGTCAAAACATGAGCAACATCTAGACTGGGGGGGGGGGGGAAGCCCTTTGTGCTGAGAAAACGATCAGAACCTGTCATAACCACGATTTTGACAAGTAAAAACTCAACTTAAAAGTTGGGTTCAAACATGTTAATAGAACGCTCGTTAAAGAGGCTGACTACATGGCAAAGTTAGTTCATAGTTTAATAGGAAATTTTTGCATTAATCAACCTCCACCTTTTGATTTTGGGGCGGATCTTGGATGAAGGGACAGCCAGTCTTTACTTTAAGTTGTAATTTTAATTTGTATTATTAATATAGTCATCAGTTTTCAGTCCAAAAAAAAAAACCCGAACTAACCAACATAGATAAAACCCCAGGAAACCGCCTGGTATCAACATCTACGCATTCTTGTTCTAGCAATTCTTACTCAATGAAAAGGAAGAGGACCAAAAAAAAAACACACAGATAAAGCTCAACATGGAGCACTTATTAAGCATCTCAAATAAAAGGGACCATGCATAAACCAGCCTTAACACCAAAGGAATTGAACTATATATATTCTGGTGAACACATTCAAGTGTGAGATATGTCAGGAAAGAATGTGTCTGCCAAGATATCCACAATTAAATTTTAGTGAGGATAACAGGGAATGTGCCAAATCTCAAATGAACAAGTGATTCATCCAGTCTGTACAGAGGGATATACAAATGAGCTACATACAATTTTACCATTCTCAGACTTCACCACCAACCCACAACAACAAATCGGGCCGGGTACTTCTCACGGTAGAAGCGGGAAGCAAGTAGTACTGCAACTCTATATATTATATATTATATGACTAAATTTAGCAGGAGCCGGATAAACTTCAGACTTTCTTGCAGCTAGTTTCAGAGGGAACTACTCATCCAAGGTGAGAGCCGGTAAGATCCATGTGTTGGCTGCAATCAGTTTATCTGAGGTGAGAGTCATAGGGGTCAAAAAGGGAGTCTGGAACAATCAGAGGCAACTTGTCTATGTACAGGAAAAGCCTTCTAAGATTCTCCCTCGTCACCGTCGCCATGTCTATTACGTCTCTACTATCAGTGAATACCCAGAGATCGCACGAGTTCACCCTCTTGAGGCTGTCCCTGCAGAAGGGGCATGACTGTGACCTTGTTCTCCTGCAACAGCATACCAAAGTGCTCATTTTTTTCAGCCAGTTCCAAGTTAACATCATGTGCATTGAGATTATTTAAGTGTAGTCCCTAAAGTATGGCAATTCATGTCTCGAGAAGATTGAGATAAATTTCTAAGGAGTCAAGCATATAGGATTAAGTTTTAGCACATTACTATACGTAATGCTCGGATCTGTCCATACGAATTTGGGATATACCCACCAACATGGATACATGCAGAAAAAGCTGTTTCATATAACACGGTAAGATGCATATAATAACCTGTGCAATAAAACAGCTGACTCACTGATATAGCCCCACCAGTTTATGCAACAACAATCATCAAGAAACGCAAGGCTCACAAGTGATCTAATGAAGCATCAAAACGGGGCCAACACCAAATGCATTTTTCTCCAACCAATCAGAAATCAGAGTCTGCACATGCCATACTTTGACCAATTGGCAACGCGTAAAGACAATTCATTATCATCCCTTGGGAATTAATAATTAAAAATTAAAAATCGAATCCAATCTACAGAAAAACTCTGGCTTTTAGAAACCTCATAAGTGATTGTACCTTCTTTGCATCCCAAAACACTAAATTTCATACAAGGGCAGCAAATGATTCAGATACATAAGAAATTAAAACGTCCCCAATCCAGAGAATTTAATCAAGTTTGTCAAGCATTAGAAAACTAAGACATGGCAAGTCACACAATGTATCTTCAGGAAAGAGGGGGGAAAGGCCAGCTATCAGGCCATGGAAAAGTCACCATACAGATCAATCAAACATCCATGCACAATCAAATTTTCACCTCGAGAAGATTTGAAAGATGCAAACGCATCCTCCTCTAACAACTGAATTTTTGCCCCTTGAATGCTCAGATTTCATGCTCAGGATTAACTTAGAAAAACACTCATTGATCCCACATTCAAGCCAGCGCCTTCACAATTAAATTCAAAATTTACTTGACTCAAGTGCTAATCAGCCAAGAGGATAATATTAAAGCATATAAGATAACACCCAATTTGCTTGACTCAAGTGCTTGAAATGCAAACTGTCAGAGCAAACTACATTCTACTTGCATCATAATTCTCATTTCTTAAAGTCATAACTGAGAAAAGATAAATGCTACCAACCCCTCCCCCCACACACACACAGAGACACACAGAGAGGGAGGAAGAGGGAGAGATGTACCATTCACGGTAGCATTTCAAGCACATTGCATGGTTGCAGTTGGGCAGCACGATCTTACTATTCATCTCCATGCATATACCGCATTCTTCATCTCTTTCAATGTCAACATCTGAAGACGGCCTGTGTTCCTCACCATCTCTCTTTCGATACCGCTCCATGCATACAGCCTTTTGTTTTTTATCCTCTGTATCAGTGACCCCTTTCTGAAGTTGCAATAAAGATGGATATATGACCGCTGATCAAAGTTACAATCCCATAAATCAGCAACTACAAGAGGCTAAAAGGAAATGAACGTTTCAGATCTCAATAGAAAGGGATTGAGATACCATAGAATTCTCTAATACTTGCTTTTCTTTCATGCGTAGACATGGTGGTTGTCCCATCCACGTAAACCTTCAGCATGACACAAAAATTGTGACATTGTCCAAACTCCAAGCCCTTAATTTCAATATGAAGAAGCAAATAAAAAGTACCTTGTAAATTAGGATTCTTAGCAGCCCTAGGGCTCCTGCAAGATTACAGTCCGTCCATTGCACTAAAAAAAGAAACAGGTGTGCAGCTGGACTATATGACATTCTCATCTGAAGGCATGCACCATCATACTCCCTCGGAAAATCTGATGCCCTGCACATACATTAGAATGGTCAAACATTAATCTCCATTCTGATACAAATATTGCGAGTGTCTGGATGGAAGGAAAAAGTCGCCTTCCAAAGGTTACATTCGTAAATTCTCCAAGAAATTTCACTAAAGACTCGTCACAAACACATTTAAATTTGGAAGAAGAAAAAAAAGTATGAAAAACCCTAGGTAGGCAGTCTATCAATATAGCAGGAGATGGCAATGAAATGCTTGTTAGCCAGGTAAATTATTCAGAGAACCACGCATCCCATGTCAACGAAGACAATGTGACACAAATTAAAAGGAACACGAAATAAAGTAAAAAAGTAAGCCACAAAGTTATAAGATAATGCAATTGAAAACAGTGTCTCCTGGCCATAATCACCTAATTTGATAGGCAATGAGAACGGTGGTGCCCTATTAGAATCAAGGCGGGGGAGATTAACCCAAAATAGAAGTGAAAGAAAGAAAGAAAGAAGCAACCAACACCCAAGAGTGGCAATTGGCATGTTATCTAGAGCTTACAAGCCTCCACTCCTAACTGCTACAGAGTGAGAGGGGAACAAAGACCCAATCCTACAGCCATTGCCCCAAAAGAGGACGCAGAGCTTCAGGCTTCGCATTTTCAAGCGGGCACTTCTGACAAGAGGCAATACAAAGGCACAAGAGTATGAGAAGTCAGTGAGTCCATGATATTCACGATCTAGTAGGTATTGATCACACGACCAGAACAGGGATTCCAAAAGGAAACTTTCAGAACGTGCTTACAACGGGTTTAGCTTTAGGATTATCAAGTATTAAATTTTCGAACAAGAGAGAGACAACTGTGACAGAAGAGTTAAAATTGCATATTCCGTCTACTCTTTTTTTTTTGGGTACTTTACTTGAATGCTTCCAGCTGACCGAAAGGGAAAGCAAATACAAGCACCCAGAAAATGAACCCCAAAACAATACCTTATCGGCCAATCATCAACGGAAAAAATTGGGAAAATTTTCAAGGGGTTCTAACCTTGAAAGAATAGTAGTCGCCTTTACATTCGAACAGGATAAACAATTTATTACAGGAATCATCATCATCATTAAGCTAAAAATAATAAAAAAAATCAACAAATTAAAAAAAAAATCCTTACAGGGTATTGGCATGCTGGATATCAGCTTCAAGCACTTTCAAGGAGTCCTTGAAAGACTTTCGCATGGAAGCTATGTACATCTCCCAGAAAACCCGAAAAACAGAATTTTTTTTCCCAGTCAAAAATCAAAGACGGCCCCAAAAATTAATCCAAAAGAATCGCGCGGAAACAATATCACTCACGCACCAGAATCGCTCTCCCCAAAAACCCCAGAAGAAAGATTCATCCGGGTTTCCGAAACCCCTATACTTTCTCTCTCTAGCCTCCCTCGCTCTCACTCTAAGAGTAGTGGGCTCTCCCTGTCAGACACTGTGGCTATAGGGGGGTGCTTCGTGTTGCTTCTATGCTGTTCTTGAAAGCGAAGACGGAGCAGTTGGATGACACGTGGACACAGGAGCGAGTCGCGTCGCCAAAAACCATTATTGAATTGCAAATTGAAAAAATTATAATATTAGAGGGAAAAAGAGAAAGTGCGAGCGTGAATAAAGATGCACGAATGTGAGTCCGTGAGACGACGCCCTTATCCATACACACTCTCTCCCTCCCTCTCTTCTTTTCGGAAAAATAAGAAATTACGCCTGGGGTCCCCAGTTTTTATATGTTAATAAATATTAAAACCTATAGTTATTTTCATTTTTCGCTAACTCAATGATCGTCTTAAATAAGATCTTAGGGAGAATTACATTTAAGTCCCACATAAGAGAAATAATCACTAAAAGTCTCAAGTAACAACTTGAGCAGCCTGTAATATTAAAAGTCCTACAGTGAGAATGACAACTCTGGGACTTGTTTTTTAATTACTTGGGACTTCATTGTAATTCTCCAAGATCTTATTGTATTGACTCATTTCTTTCTGACTTTTGTTTATGTGCCTGAGACAGCTTTTCTTTCTTTCCAAATGCATTGTGTTACACAGGGTGTTGTCATGTTATTATTTTTTATTTTAATTTATATACTATTTTTATATAAAATGTAAAACCTGAGATGAATTATAATATCTGTAGCTTATAAATAATAATTTCATATTATATATTTATTGAAATACAATAAATAAAATAAAATTTTTAAGGTTAAGAAACAGATATGTTTCGATCATTTCTCATAACAAAAAATACTCACGACATTTCGAAAAAGAGGGCAAAATACTCTAACCTTAACAGAAACATGATACTAACTCCGGTTTTAATAAAAGAATTATTTTGATTTTTAATTTGGTTTTAAATAAAAAATCCTAATCTATTTTGTTTATCATATTTATCTATTTTTTAAACTAATATTTATATTAATAGCATATATTAAATATTTCATCAAATGATACTTAATTAGTAAAAATATTTTAAGAAAGATAATACTTATTTATACAAGTAATTAACTTAAATAATTTTTTAAATCTAATTAAATTAATCAGCCAACTTTTATATTAAAGATTGAAAGTAATATTGTGGAATGTGAGGGGGAAAAATGTGGTTATCACATGTAAATGAGTTAGGGACAAAAATACTCATAAATATTCTACAAGGGTACAATTTTACTAGTCAGTTAAAAAAAAAAAAGAGAGTTGCTAAAATCTTCCGTTCATAATAGAAGCACATCAGCAAGCATTGGTCAAAAATGACAAAAATACATTGAGATTTCATTTCACTAAAATTGTAGACATGAAAATACATATACCCAAATTTGTATCAATTGAGGGAAATCTTCGGCACAACATTTTATAATGTGCGGAATCTACCTTGACCTCCTATTTTCTTAACCAGTACTTCTCACAAAATACAACCATTTATAACACACTATAATTCATAGGCTATCTTTAAACTATTTTGACTTCCTAATTTTGTTTCTTTCCATTGCTCGGTTTATGAAACGTGACAAAATAAAAATGTCGTGCCTAATAATATTTTTCCCTACTGTTACAAGTTTCAAACACAAGTACTTTCACATCCTCACCTTTAGTCAGATAAATAAAATAATACTCATTCAGTTATTAATGTAAGACTTAATTAATTAATTTAAGTTGATTATAATATTAGTTAAATTAGTTAATATGATAATTTTTTTCTAAAATATTATAATCATCTTTTTTTATTTCCCCCTCCATCTACTCCTTAATTATTATTGAGAGAATATTAATAATATTAATTTGAAAAAAAATTGATAAGCATCTGAAACAGATCTTTCATATAAGAATAACATAAGCTCTCAAATTAGATCATATATCAAGAATCAGAGGAGTATAGCTTTTTATTATGTAAATGATCATTTTTCTTTAGCTTTTGAGAAAGGCAAAGATAAAGGATTCAAATGAAAATCACCTTAAAATCATTGGACCAAATATGCCACCTTCATTAAAAGTGGGGTCCTAAAGTATAATACTTTCACGCTTCGCACTTAGCTTTCTCTCCACGCGGCCATGATGGCTACACATCCGCCGCGAGGACAAATGACAAATCTATTGGCAATTCTGCCTTTCCGGTTTTCATTTAATTTCAAAATTCTCTATTTGGAAATTTATAGATGAAAAATTCATTTTTGTTTTGTTCTTTTTTTCCCGTTTCAATCACATTACTCATTAATTATGGATAATGATTTGGGAAAAACTTTTGTAACTTTGGGATATTTTTCGAGAATTTTTATGCAAAGATTGTTTTCCTTTTGTAGATATTACTACCATAATGTTCTTTTAATAAATAAATTTTTCTGAGTTAAGTTTTAAAGGTTTATTAGGACCAGAGTATATATGTTTGATGACTCAAAAAAAATTACCACAAAAATATTTAATTATTGAACTGATAAAATTATCACGCCTGGGGGAAAATCCCTAAAATTAATACAACTTCAAACTAAATCGAATCATATTATAATAAAGCTAGATGATTTGAATTGATTGAAAAAGGCTGCATTGCATTGGATATCATTTATTATTATTATTTTTCTTTTTAAAGTTTATTTGAGTGTAAGCAAAAGGTCACATTTCTCGGCTTGGTGGTTACGTAGTTTCTACTGGTTATTTAATTAACCAAGATTTTTAAATAATATTTAATTATTATGCTGACCTGTTCGTGAAAGTGGGGCTTAACTCTTTTTAATGATAGATCATCAGGTTATTAAAAAATAAACTGTGGTTGAACTGGAATTAATCGAAGATTTGTGTAGTCATCTAACCCAAAAAAGTAATTTTTTTATGAACATTTATATATAATATCCAAATTAAACCTCAAAATCTAGTTTGTTTATTTGAAACGCGGGTTTAAAGCTTTTTCATTAAAATATTTTTATTCAGGAATATAATCAGTCTTATCAAATGATTAAGCCATGCACGTCAAACGATTGTTAGGGAATAGGATGCTTATTATTATTTAAATAAAACAACCTTAAATAATTAAGTTAAGTTTTAATCACATAAATTTTAAGGAAAATCACAAATAAAGACCCTGAATTACTGAAATTACGCAGAGGTCACCTGAATAAGGAAAATTACCATGAGGGACCCAGTCTCATATTGTAAATATGAAATCTTGATGAAATGTGTGAAATACCCCTCAGTCAAATGACAAGTTGACTATAGGAAATAACAAGTTTACTTTAACGGATAACAATTTCAGTAGATCAAATCACAACTTGATTGATGATATGTCAAATGACAAGTTGACTATAGAAAATAACAAGTTTATTTTAGCGGATGACAATTTCAGTAGACCAAATTACAATTTGACCGAGGGGTATTTCAGACATTTCGCCACGATTTCATATTTACAATATGAGACTTGGTCCTTCATGGTAATTTTGCTTATTCAGGTGACCTCTGCGTAATTTTAGTAATTTGGGGGTCTTTTTTGTCATTTTCCCTAAATTTTATTCCCCCGACTAAAACAATTTTTTTATTTGTAACGGAAAAAAAAACACTGCACCTGGCCGTACAATAGGAAAATATAAAATTATTAACAGTTTATATAATTTTTAGTGTTTCAAATTTACTTTATTTTAGTTTTAAATATAAATTTTGTTTATCAAATTTCTTTTTATCTAAAATATTGAGTCTTATAATTTAATAAAAATACGAAATATCTTGTCTTTTTCGGAATTAAAACTCAAAGTCTAAAATTTAAAAAATTAAAATTAAAATTAAAACTCGTGCAAATTTAGATTTTAAAGCATCAAAAATTATATTAACTTAATAATTGAAAGTTAAATATGTAAAGTGAATATAATTTTTTTGGGCCAAAAAGCGAATTTACTGTTACATCCGCGAGTTTTGCCCTGGAAAAATAAAAAATAAATATGATTTTTTTTTTTTTTTGGAATTGCTTTGTTCTGAACCGATCATCTGCTGAGCCAATCATCATCGCATACATTCCTAAAATTGTTGAGTACTACCGTTTTTAGGCTTTTTTACCGAAATACGATAAACAGTAAAAGTTTTTACCAAAATACTGCACTTTTAAAACTATTTACTAATATACTACACTTAAAATCGTTCTTGGCAAGAACGATTTTCAAATTACATACAAGTCGTTCTTGGCGTGAACGATTTCACTTTTTATTTTTTTTATTTTAAATGAAAAAGTGAAATCGTTCACGCCAAGAACGATTTCACTTTTTCCTGTTCAACCCCTGCGTCTGAATTGCTGCCAATTAATTCTCATTCAACATGCCCTAGTTGTGTTGATTATCGAGATAAGGTTGCTCGCGACCAACGTAACATTTTCTTGCACTTAGAGAACAACGTTTTAATGTAAACCCTTAGCCTGTTCCACCAACAATTGAGTTGCCTCGGCCACAAATTCCTCGTGATAGACCAAGCAAGCGACGAGGTGGTTACTTGTCTACCCAACCTATAATTGAAAACGAAAATGCAAGGGAACAGGAACCTCCAATTTTTACTTAGACTTCTGACATATCACCGTCACCATCATCCCCCTTCATCTCTATCGATCCTACACAACTTGAGTCTCATTACATGGCACCCTCATCATCATCCCCTTCCAACTCAACCAATCCTTCTCAATTTCAACCATTCATGACTTTATTAGATAATCTTGCATTATTTTCAGCTGAATACAATGCTTCTACTTTTAAACATGGTGGACTATCAAATGAAGCATTTGTCACTCCTCGACAATCTATACATTTAAATGAATCACCCTGGTTTGATTTGAACACGCCAACTACACAAACAAATGAGACATTTGAAGCTCAAGAAATTGACATACAACAACAACGCCCACAACGTATGAGAAGAAGGCCAAGATGTGGTACTGGAAGTCACTATCAGTAAGGTGGATAAT